GAGCAGTGGTTCTTCCCTTCCCGACAGCAGGAGGCATGGTCCCTCAGTGGAGAAATCTCTCTGACTGAACATTTTGATGTGGTCAGTGCTCCAATAGATCAGCTCTTCTTGTTCTCTCACTGCCCCTGGAAGCATTTCACATGCCTTGGAGAAGACTGACCTTGCATTTCCTCTCCCCGTCCTTAAAATATAGATGCTGATACAGCCCTAACATCCCACAAACTTATTTCCCTGGGAGTAAAGTCCCTGCAGGCTCTGAGGTGGTGCTGGGATCACCACTTCATGCTAGGACAGTTATTAGGGCTCATCTCCAGCCTCATGCCCATGGAGGTCTATTAGGAAGAGCTGTGGGACTTTGAATCTTCCTTCTCTCTGCTCTCTGTCACATTGAAGCCTCCATCTGCCTCAATCCCAGGCCAGTACAGGAGACTAGCAGGGCTTTCCCTGTGCCTGCAGCACCAGTGCTAACCTGTGCATTCTCTTCTGTGCCCCACAGGTGCTGGGACCCTGAGCAGAGCTGAGCAGAAGCCTCCTGGAGAAGAGCCTGTTAACCTGGTGCTGCAGAGGACTTCCCCAGGGAGACTGGAGGAAAGGGGGTCCTTAACACCTGAATCAGGCTAAGTGCAGAGGGGGCAGAGCAGGCCTCCAAAGTAGGGGGAGAGCTTGGAGATGAATGGGGCACCAGGTTCATTTGGGGTGGGAGTACAGCTGGGACAGAGCGCAGGAGGAGCCAGGGGTGTTGTAAAGAATTTGGAGAGCAGAGACCTGAAGAGTGTCAAGCCTGTGGTGATGGAAGCTGCAAACACACCAGGCTGGCATTAGCAGGAGCTCCCTCCTAAGTGCAGATAGTCAGGGAGGTGTTGGCACAGCCAGGCTTTGTCAGAGTGCATGGAGCTGGGGCTCCCTGCCTGTAAAAGTACTGCCCAGGCTTCCTCAAAGGACTGAGCAAGTAGCATGTGATGAGCTGGGCTAAGGCTGACACATGAACTCCTATGTCCACAGCTGCATCCACATTGCATGTCAGCTGAAGATGGGAATATTGCACCCTTACCTGTCATGGCTAAGCCTGTAATAAGTTGAAGACAGGGCTGTGGGGGCTGGAAGCAGCTGGAACAGGAGACACTGATGGTGTAACACTTGTGACTGCAGCTCTGGGAGGTGTTTGAGGACATGGCTGTGTATTTCACACGGAAGGAGTGGGAGCTGCTGAAAGATGAAAACACGGTGCTTTACCAGGATCAGATGCTGAGGAATTTCCAAGCACTTGTTTCCCTGGGTAAAGCTCTGGTTCATAGCTCCCTGGAGCTATGTGAACTCTGAAGTTTATTGTCTTCTTCCTGGGTATAGGTTTCTTCCTGTGTTTTAGCATTCACATCCTCATGCACCTTTGGCTGGTGGTTTAAATCCACTTCCTCCCCACTGCCCTGTCAGTGATCAGACCTCTCTCACATATCATATTGATAGATCCTCCTTCACTTGATTCAGCCACATTCACCTGTGTCTTCCCCATTCTTGCAACTGCTGATGCCTCCATATCCAGCTGTTTCTTGACAACATGATCGTCCTTTGCCTTCTCAGCACATTCATATCATATCCAAGTCGTTGTGCATAAACTCACTAACAGCTCTTCTTTGGGGGAATATTTCTAATTTTCTCCCTCACTAGTGTCTCATGTCCAAACACATTTAACAGTCCTAGCGTGCTCAGTTCAGTACTATCTAAATGCTATTTCTCCTCCTTTGTTTATGACCCAGCACAAGTTAATGGAAGTCTTATCAGCCTCTGCTGCTACAACATGTGGATGATGCATTTCCTTAACTCTTCCTCTAGTGACACATGTGCACGTGCTGGAACCCAGACACCTCTACCCAGGGGTCACTGGAAGCTTCTGTCCACATTCCTTCCTGACATCTTCATCTCCATAGACCGAGACTCTGGCTTTGCTGTATTTGCATTCAGACCTGTGCTCTCAAGCTTGCTCTGACATTCTCAAAATTTTTCTTGTTCTCCTCCTAAAATCCCTCTGCAGATCAGACATCCATCACTGTGAATAGAAGAAGTGGGCTAGGTGCAGGGCCTTGTGAAAGCCAGTTTTTGTTTCCAGAGGATCTCTAATACAGTGGCTTGTTCTTGCTTGTGCGCAGGGTTGAGGTACTTAAACTTCTACTAAGTCAGTTTACTTTTCTGATGCTTTCTTTCCCCTCCACTGCCCCCAGAAGATTTCCTTAAGGAATTTCTCAAATGTTTTCTGTAGCTCAACAAAGACCACATAGACCATTTGTACCTTGCGGGCTTTCACATGCTATGAAATGTGGGTCTTTTTTGCCTTCTTTTGTCATTTCTATGACTCCCAGGAACTTTGTTTTAAACCCTGCAGTATTTGGCAACTTGCGGACTCATCTTCATTCCTGGGATGATGTTCCCATTGGATGGGATGCTTGATTCAGTTGCAACTACAGTTATTATAAAATCATCTTTTCTTGTGCCTTGGTTATGCTAATTTTATCCTCTTACCCAGAAAACAGTTTCATTGTCAGCTACCTGTCATGGATGCTTTTCACTGCCATGGGTCCTCACTTTAAACCTTCACTGAGAATAAGGTCATTTCCATTCCTTTAACTGGAGTTCCACTGATGAGATGCATGTTATCCATCCGTAAGTATGTCCAATGTCTCTTTGTTTTGGTACCTTGAAAACAGTAAGAGTTTGATCTTTCTGCTCCCTAGTACATTATGGATCACTGCATCTCCATGCCTATCCCTGGTGACACTTGTCACTTTGATACCCTTTCTATACCAGGGAGTGGTTGGTGCTTTGTTTCCTATGATCATCCCTCCACTAACTGGGTGGCAAGGACCATCATGCATTGAAGGCTTCTCCCTGCAGTGCCTTTTCTTTCACCCTAAATGCCCATCCTCTCTTGTCTAGTAGAAACCTTGAGTTCATTGGATCCATCCCCAAATCCCAGTTGGTTATTCTGCATCCAGTACCCAGTCACAAACACTCTTTAACCACTGTCCCAAACAGGATATCGAGGTCCTGCACCTGACTTAGTCTGCCACATCCAGTGAGGACAGGTGGAGCTCTGGGTCTGTGATGATGAAGATGATGGGGAAATCTCAAGGTCAGAGGACCTGCTGCCAGGTGAGTTGTGGCTGTCCGCTCCACCTGGCTCTGGTCTCAGTAATGCTCCATGCCCAGAGTGCCAGGGGGAACTGGAAACTGGTGACATGTCCTGTGCTGCCATTGCAGGGTGCTCACCTCAAACACAGTACATTATGCTGTAATGTGTTCAAGCAGGTGTTGTTCCCACTCTCTGAAATTCAGCGATATGGAGACAAGTAACTGTTCCCTTCTTCTCCCTCTAATGACAGATGTTAGAGGACAATGAGGTTTGCTGTCTTGATTTTTCGGCCCATATCTGGTTTCCCTGGGAAGCCACAATCTTAAGTTTCCATCTTCACTCAGTAATGTAAGAGTTCATTCCCCAGGTCAAGGTAGTCATGTGGCGGGCCAGTAGGGGGAGCTCCTGCGTTGAGCCTCCCACCTCACCATGCCCGTCCACCTTCCAGACTCCACGTGTCCCTCCAGGGGGGC